AATAAAAATATGTATGATGTATTATCAAAAAATCACAACCAACATGAATTTATGATTTTATCATAATAATTTTTCAAATCAAATCTAACAAAATATATAAATAACAATATAACGTGYTGTTATTACTTACCAATAATTATAGAATTTGAAAGTTCGAATGACGATTTCATCTTTGAAAATATGTGAAAAGCTTGAGTGTTTAATAGATAGATACATCTATTTCTATTGAACGTTGCCATGCTTAAAAAAAATCAATTTAATTTAATTTGGTTTTCTAGAAAACTATGTCGTAATATTATGATATTATAAATGGAAATCTGGCATTAAAATAATAAGTATTTTTTACTTCGGTTYCGTTTTGGTCATCACAATTGGCATGTTGATAGTTGCTTTTGAGTAGTTCATGAATAAGTATATTTTGAAATTCAATTATTCCATCAAACTTTGAAAAAAAATATARAATAATAATTCATTATCTTAACTTTTAATGAAAATACATTTCAAGATGTAGCAATAAAAATGATAATATTTACCAAACACTTTTTTTTGGAAATTTTAATTTYCTTAAATTTCTGCTTTAATTGTTTGTATTTTATTACATTAATTTCCATTGTTTCTGCTGAATGAATGAACGAAAAGCATTCTAAGCATTTCCATCTGCGGTAAACAAAAACATTGTTAATTAATAAAAACAATGTTTATAATAGATTAAGGAAACAAATAACAGTTTTCTTACATTGTACAATTCATTTCTTTTAATAATTCACGGGAAGGTCTTTTTTTCTTTTCTGCGAACGTGTTACATACGGGACATTCACATTTTATCATTGAACAAATAAATTTTAAATCGACCAGTTTGCCAGAAAGTTTGTCAAATATTTTCCTTTGATATCCTGATATATCGAGCGATTTTATTGGAGTTTCTTGTAGTGTGTGTAATGCAGGCGTTGGTTCAGTGACGCCGTCAAAAGCTTCCAGTACATTTAGTAAATGATTCTCATTACTCGAAGCATGCTCTTCGACATTTGTTTGCAGTTTTACACCAACTGGACTAATCTAAAAATATGTTTTTTTTTCGAAAAAAGATGGCAAATTATTTTCTAAGACAAGTAAGTACTTGAATGTAGTAATCTTTTTAATATAGTATCTATGCAATATTTATCATGCAGCTATAAGTACTTACTCTRTCAAAATGTTCGTTCAAATACTTTACTTCCAYAGACGGATGTCTCAACTTGAAATGTTGTTCTAACGCTTCATAATTGCTGTGATTATTTTTACAAATAAGGCATTTAAACATGTTTGATATTTTATGAACTATTGATAGGTGTGCAAAAATTTGGGTTGTTGAATACTTGATACCAGACATACATGCATTGCATTTCCATTCACCTGTTGGCTGATCTATTACAAGTATTGTGAAATAAGTAATAAATATTGTTATAATTTTACGTAAATTTACATACAGAGTACTTATGAGCTATTTATACAAATTGACTATACATGACATATACACGAACCTAGATTTTGACTTCTAATTGTGACTATATTGAATTTATTATCGCTTGTTCTAAGCTGATGTGTTATCTTCTGGTGTGATTCTATATGYAAAGGATTATAATGAATGTAATCACAATACAGACAAATGTATAAATCGATACCATGAAAATGAAAATGTGACTCCAAATCATATAGACTTTTAAACCTTACAATTGATGGCCTACAGTGTGGACATCTATAAAAATGTATAAAWAACATGTTATGATGAATTTGAAACTCGTTCATAAAGTAATATTGTGGTKTTACATGTAGTAACTTAGTCATACTTACATATAAAAATAAAACTTTGGATGATCATATGTATGGCGTATATGGCGCTCCAGAATTTCCATATTCTCACCAATATAATTACAATCGTATGGACATTTAAAAAGCTTATCTCTTGGAACGAACTGGGGAAAATTATTTCCTGGCTGGCATGATGAAGATTCAGTAGTTGATTTTAATATTAAATCATCTACACTATATTCAACTGTTCTTATCTGAAAATAATGTTTACACTTCTTGTAATATAATACCATGAATTATGCTGGAATTATTATAAAGAAAGTAAATTAAATTGATCTATTCAAATTTTAATCTTTTCAAATAATTATCTAAAATTATGGTTTTCAAGTGGAAATACTACCTTTTCATTTTGTTTTACTTCAAATGAACTGCAGGATGGATTATTCACAAGCTTGGACGCAGTATCTATAGGCATTGGTTTATTCGACAAATCCGACATATATAGTTCTACTGTATGCCAGTTCAAGTGTAACACTAGATTAGATCGCAATTTTGTGTGGAACTCACACAGTAAACATCCTATGGGATTCAAGAAGACTGGTGTTTGTGGAATTTTGTCCATTGCATTAGGAGTAAAATACTTATCCATTTTACTTAGCGGAATAGTATCGTATAACCTATGGCAGCTAGGTTTTTTTTTATAGTCTACGACGGCGACGTTCTATAATTTGTAAGAATAATAATAAAAAAACAAAAATTACTTTATTATATTATAATAATTGTAATTGGAGGATTCGGGTTGCCTAAAACGAGGCTGAGCGTTAAATAAATCAGATAATTTAATATAAAGATGTAATATTATAATAAGAAACGGTAAACTTAATTCAGCTACMCATTAAATTTTTAATATACCTAGATACTAATAAGACCTATTATCTATTTTTATACTAGGCGACACTGGAAGAAAGTTATTGTAATATATATATGAGTCAAATTTAAATTCCTAGTATTTTATTCTACTATAAAAACTTATAACTTATTGAAGTTATTATAATGATATATGAATGCAGTAGGTTTAACTAGTGGCTTCTTTCATATTTTACTAGTGAGTGGTAAACTTTTTGCTTTCTATTTTAAAAATAATGGGTTCTTTCTCCCACAGTTTTTAATTTTTTCAATTTAATGAATTCTTTAGAGTATTT